TATCATCACTTAAAAGTAGAAGAAATGCCATAAAACTCGATATGCTATCGTATACGTCACTTAATCCAAAGCTTGTTGCAGCGGTAGCGTATAAACAAAAAACGGAGTAGACAGTGAAAAAGTAGCTTCGTCCACGCTCCATGAAATTTAGAAGACGCAACTGAAATAAAGTCTAGTATAGGAAATCTCACGGGACCACTATTCTCCACTTACAAGTACGTTAAGAGACGTCAGATCCGCTTAGAGTATATTAGCAGAACTCTTCTCCAAATGAAAGCAGAGAGAGAACTCGTTCCCTTCACAAACGTGTCCACTCTCTTCAAATTACATTAATCGCCGGTACAATTGACGTATTGTTATAGATTCTAACAAATATTCTTTATGCAGCTCATTTTTAAAGGTATATAGAAATACTACGTGTAAACATATGCACAAAGACTTTCTTTTCTCCTAATTTTCCTCTATCCCAACTTCCTCGATTTAGGAATTATTAATTTATAAAAGGTAGACCAACGTCGGATCATCATCGATCATTGAAATGAGAATTTTGTATTATTATTTTTTTTTTTTCTTCTTCCCAACGTCGGATTACTAGGATTTATAGCCGTTTCCTTTTATGTTAAGAGAAAAATACACTCTTTAAAGAGGAAGTGTTTCGTTAAATAAAGACGTTCATTCATAAAAGTGTTTTTTAAGGTTATATTTCTTTATGGTTAAAAGCTTTTTCCTTATACGAAAATCACCTTTATTATATTAGGAAAATATTTATATTCTCGAACGTAATTCCCCGTAAAATAAATTTCTTTTATTTACGAAAATTTATAGTTAAATTTTATATAGCATTTAGAAAGTAGTAGTTTTTGTTCGTGAGAACTTGGAGAGAACAATTTTCCTTAAACGAATTTTAAAGCATTTTTTTTTTCGAATGCTTAAATATCGAAATTTGTTACTATAAATAAAGATAATCAAGTAAAATTTTCTCATTAAAAGTTTCTCGATTAAAAAAGTTGAATTCTTTTCTTAAGAAATTTACTTGACGTCAAACAAAACCGAAATGTCCTTCCGCTTATGAGATTCTTTTCATGAAAACTTTTACATTTGTGATTTAAAAAAAAAAAAAAAAAACGTCCACCCAGACGAAACAAACCTTTATTAAATAAGATAACTTACAAAACGATTCTACAAATTAATATCTTCTTCTTAAACAAAATTCTGGAAAAGTTTTCTTTATTCAGCAGCCAAAAACAGCTTTAGATAATAGACTGTTAGAATTACATTTGGGAACAACCAAGCGTGACTTTTGATAGATTTTCCAGATAATTTTTCATAATTTTTGCCCTAATGAGAGTTTTTCTACTTAAAAATTATTTTATTTTTGGTGAGGATAAAAATTCCTTGATGAAACCTTTCTGGCGTGTAAAGAGCATATTGACCTTGTTGTTGCTTGAATATACGATACAGCCGATTTCACTCCCGGATTATGATGTGGGTACCAATTATAAAGGCTTAAGACCTTTATGATAAATAAGGAGAAAAATCGGACTTAATCGAAACTGCTGAACAAAAACTTTTGAAAACGAGCCAGTCATATGTCGTGTTTTAATTAATTTTCTTTTTTTTTAATATTCCAATTTTCCTTTCCTTAGTAATCGAAGAAAAATTTTCCTGTTGATAAAAATATTAGATCAGTTGGCGTGTAAGAAAATAAAATTGAAGGTATTTCCCCTAATTATCGGAAAAATGTTTGTTGAATAAAATTGTCTAGTAAATATTGCCACGAAATTCCTTACGAAAGCTCGTTTAAAATTGACAGACAAGGAATCCGGAGCGGTGCAGAAATCTTTGACACCGCCAAAGATTTCTCGTTTTCCTGGTTGTCGGAATTCCAATTATCAAAGCACTTATTTACATTTCATGGCAATTCGAGAATGTCAGTAAAATTTGCGGCGTATTCATCGAAGCGATTTGTTCGATCGAATCGATACAATGCTTTGTGTATTACGTAACGATCTTCATTGATGTCCCTCACACACGATCCTTAAGCACAGTTATCATGCGAGATTTCGTAAGTCGGAAATCGTAAAAACGCTACTCGTCCATCATCTCTGTAAAATGTCACGCATCTTTCTCCATCCCGTTACCACGGCAACCAACGATGAAGAGAAATGGATGAGAATTCTAAACATTTTGAGAGAAGTTCACACCTGGTGCGATCGCATGCGGCCGACAAGGGAGGAGAAGGTTCACCTCCGGCAGCTGTCGTTTCCACACGTTCCCTTATTATCACGTGATCATCTAATGAACTCGCGCCTATCCCTTTATCGAATCTAGAAAAACATTGACAAAATTGGAGCAGCCCAATGCTCCTTTTCTTTCGCCAATCTAGAAGAAGTTATGAGAATCGATGGGGTGCAACCACACCCAATAGTACCTGTTCAGGTCACAAATCCTGCTTTTGAGAGGAGGCGTCGAAGGGCGTTTGTCCACCTTCGCACTGATGACATCAAAGTATCACCTGGGCACTTTTCAAAGGAAATTAAATCGTTCCTTTCATAAAATTTGATTGGTAATTACGTATTGTTTAATGTTCGACACAGCTGCGTCAATATACAGATTTATAAGAGCAATATTTTAGATAAATTACCCGACGTATTTTTTTTTTAATACAAAATATTTATCTAACTTCGCTATTAGTTGATATAAGCAATACAAGAACCAAACAGGAAGGTATAAATGCTTGACGCGACCTTATCTTAACAAAAAATAGTGTGTACCTAGTTGTAAAAACAATCACGAAAAGTCACTTCTGATTCGCAGAATTATTTTTTGCGGGCAAACGCCAGTTATTTTTAGACAGTTCACAGTAAGTATTATATGCTTTCCTTCTCCACTGCAACAACTTAAAAGAGTTCAACGAACCTGTAAGTGCTATATGAGGGACGTGTTGTTTTTTGGGGAAACTTCGAATAAGTGAATCATCTTATAGAGTGGTTCCTGTCTGACCTTCAATGGTACGTCCACCGGATTATAAGAACTAAAAGATTATTTCTTCTAAACCCGTACGTCTCGAAGTATCCATGTTACCACCTTTCATACAATTCGTCATTCCGTAAAATGATTTAGGATCAGATAATGTACTGTGCACCTGTTACATTTATAGCGTTTCTGTGTAGAATTAATCCTACTACGTCTCATTTGATCACAGCAACCAAGTAATTTATTATAGACAAATTTATTTTCAGAAAAATTGTGCAAGATTTTATTAATTTGGTTACGATGTATCGTTTTAGCCCACGTACAGTACGTACAATGTGATAGGACGTACAGTATATACATTTAATCTCAAATATAACACGCCCAATTTCGTTTCTCTTCGTCAACATCTTTAATTAATTAACGACAAGAGTAAAAAAAAAAAGTATTTCAATAAATGAAACGAAAAATATGGGAAATCCAGGCGGAAAACCAATTACATAGCAGTAGAGAATTAACAATTATGCTAATAATCACCCAACAGGTAAATAGAGGACCCGTCCTTGCCAGGAATGCAGCCCCGAAGCCACACTACCTGTTTGCTTACCATCCAAGATGGCGTAGACTATGCCGCCCGAGCACGTGACTCGGTCGTGTTGAAGCCAAACAGATGGACTTTGCTACCATCTATCAACCCGGGCATCAGTCAAAATAGAATTACTCTAATCGCGTTACGAAACTGGAGTGAAGCTGTAAAGCTATGACCTAAACATAAGTGTTTCGGCAAGACGAAAACGGGTCGCGTCTTTATAAGGAAAATTCGTCGGTAATTTACGGTGTAATTATCGCCCGCTGTGCAGTTTAAATACAGCCGTTGTCCGCTTTTATTAGCAGAAAATTTTGTTTTGATTAACTCGTTAATTACAATAAAAAGTAATAAATACGAACTTCTGCACACCACGAATGTTCTTAGCAGATTCTAGCGTAACGGATAACCTAATTATAGGTGACGTAGAAACTGTAAGGCGTGTGATACAAAGACACTGACAGAGAAGAAAAAAAGTCGGATAATTAGGAACACGACTCGAACACAGCTTCTGTCATGTAGGGGAGTCGACGGATCAAGAAACGAACAAATGAAGCGAATTAAGAGAAGAACCGGGGGCACACCTTTTGTTGTTAAAATAAAAACTACACAAAAACAACCCGATAAACTCCATCCAACCTTTCAAATAATTCCATATTTTCAAATTTAAAAAAAAAAAGTATCGACTACACACCGCAATTAAACAAATCTTTAATTAATTTGATCAATTTCTACGATGCGAATAAAAAAACCAATTGAGTAAAACAAACACCTGGCGAATCATCTCGCCATTTTCTCATATTTATGTACAACTTGTTCCATTTTCTATATCCAATAGCGATTCGATAATAAAAAAAAACCCGACCTTCTGGTTTTTCGTGGGCACAATCGCGCACCCAAGCTCATTCGAAGTATCTCACAGGATTATAAATACGTAGCTAAGCTACTTTTAAGGTTAAACCGGAAAAGTACCTGAATAGAAGTGCAAGGTTGACGGCTACACCAGTTCCTTGTCTAGTGACAGAAGTGATGAAGTGGTCTTACCTTGGGGCGCATCCCAGATGCAGCGGATCCAGTCGCAGAAAAATCATCCAAAGTGCTCCATTAACCGACGCGATTTTATCACAAAACTTCCATTTAAAAAAAAAGAAATAATAATAATAAAGACAAAAACTTCCATTAATAACCCCCCCAAAGTGTAATTTGCGGTAAGGGCGTCTTTTGCCAAAATTGCCAGCCATCAATTGCAAGATTGTAAACAAACATGGCTGACACGGTTAATCCCCGACTAATAGATTACACCGAGGTTAAATCGTATACATGTATTGGAATATAGAAAAACAAGTTAAACGGGAGCAAGGTAGATACCCGCATGCCATCCCGAAGGTAAGGCAAGTAATATATAGAGATGGTAAGTAATTTTAAACAAAGGTTCACTTACTGGGTTTAGTGCTCCTGTACTTGGACAGGAGTCTGCTTAATCCTTGTATATCCTCGGTTTTGATGGCATGAAACAACTCCTGTTCCTTCCCCATGGTGGCAAACATTGGCAGCTTTTCACTTATCACCACTCATGTAGTTAAACACTTTTGTCGGGAGATCAAACACGAAATCGAACCCGAAATCACGGGCGTGTGTGTTAATTTCTTTTCGTAAAAGTCGAATCTCGTCACGAACGCGATCCCGACTCCTCGACGTACAACCGACTCTGTTTCGACGTTCGCCCGATCGGACAAACCGCCGTTAACGCGCCTGCGCACAATCCACTAATAGCGACGTTTGGCGGACAAGGTGATTCAGCGGAAACTCTCGTAAACAACGAGAATTCCGTCTGCGTAACATCACGTTACGTTACGCGCACGCGGTTTCTTTCTTCCATATTTTTTTTTTTTATTTTTTTTTTAAAGAGATTTGACATTGAAAATTTTCCTCTGATTCATTTTAACGAGGAAAATTATTATTTATATTTTATCGATAAAGTTTATATTTTACGGGTATTGAATTTTTATTTATTTATTTATTCGTTTTTAGGTGTTGAGTTGTGTAATTATTATTATTTTCAATGACGTCGTTTACTTAAAATTATTTTCGTCGACGTAACTCTTATGATAAATTAAGTAACGACGTCATTTTTTTTTTTTTTTTGGTTATTATGGGATATGACTTAAGTTAGGAAAAATGTCCTTTCTGCATTGCCTTCTTTTCTCCCCTTTAAAGAGAATTTCACGCAATCGTCGAGTAATATTTGTTTTTCATTTTAATCTATTTCTATCCCCTCTTCCATTTTCTCAAAATTGTTACATTTCTTATTATACGAAGTCCAAGTACTTCAGCAGAGAGGCTGAGTAATGTCAATTTTGCAAAAGTAATTTTTATTTGAGATCTTTATTTATTTTTTTAATATTACAAAAAAATTCGATTTTACGTGATTATTTTTTAAGTAAAAAAAATATGTGTATAGGCCTATATATACAGTACATATTTATTCATTTAAATTCTCCTTCCCTAGTCTAATATAACCCCCCTATAACACTGTTGATTATTCCGTTTTATACGAATTCCATGTTGTACGAGTCACTTAGATTTTACAAATATGTGAGCCATTCATAGCCGTGCACTCGTATTTATAAAATCTAAGTGACTCGTACAACATGGAATTCATATAAAACGGAATAATCAACAGTGTTATAGGGGGGGGGTCGACTTTGTATTACATCTATGTATTTAAATATTAATAAATATTTTAGACTTATTATATATACGAGTGTACTACACACAACTATAGAACTTAAAAAAAAAAATAATTAATTGTTTTTAAATAGAGTAAAAGCTGTAAAAACAAAAATATTAAATAAGCAGAGAATTTACATTGTATAATTAAATTCTATTCTAACCATGCTTATTTGTTAATTATAATTTAAGTCACACTTTATCCTTCCAAATTATTCTAATTTCAAAGTCTGCAGCTTTGTAAATGTGTTGTTCTAAGAATAATTCTATTATTAAGCTATTATCGTTTTTTCTCTTGTTGATAATAAATGAATTTTTTATTTGATGCTTTTAAAATTTACATGATATTGGCTACATGTTTTTTTATTTTTATTTTTCCAGTTTTAAAGTTGTCCTATGAGAGTTTATTCTAAGTTTAATTATAATATCAAAATTCCGTTAAATAAGGGTTACTCAAGATGGTAATCAATTTGTATCAAGGAAGATAAGTGAGAATTTTTATTTTTCTACGCTTAAGTTTTCTTTCTATTCTCTGTACGATGATGAAAAATTGATAATTGCTTTATATTGATTACATAACTGTGTAGAAGTATATACACTTTTTATATATATATGTAATCATATTTCCATTATAAACCTCTATCAAAACTTAATTATTATTATTATTGTAAACTAGTAAATCGCTTTAAAATTTAAATAGTTATATTCTATATAAATTTGTAAAAGTGTATAGTAAAGTAGAAACACGGCTTACTACCTCTTTCCCTTGTGAATCACGGAGGAGATAGAATGTATAGCGATAATCCATAGCTCTGCTCCAACTTTATCCTCATCTAACACCAGATGCCTGTCGTCTAAAATGCTAGGATAAATCTCAAAGCAATTCTAAAAATCACTATTCTGTATCGGATTCAATCTTACATCTTTCCACATGAAATCGTTAAAGTCGATCCATTGAGATCACTAAGTAAATGAATTCTATTTGAATATTAAATATATCATTAAATTTTGCCAGATTATTATCTATACTATACGCGATTATAGCGTAATATTGTATATATATATATATACAACGATTTATGACAAATGTCTTTACATATTTGTTTATATTGATCCTGTGTTTTAAGCTCGCTAAATCGATATATTTTAATAATACGAAACCTTTAAAATTAACATTTAACAAGAGGATCTTCGTAAGTGTAACAGGATCTAAATAAAATTCTTTGTTATATTTTTTTTTTAATTGTTAGAATAGGCTATTTCCCTGATGTTTCGTGTGTAAAAAAATCTAAAAAGATGATGGTATTTTGGATATTTTCCTGAAATTTTAGGTCATCCATCGCTTGTAATATTCTGATATCCCGGAAGTTGTCGTAAAATTTTCTTCCGGAAATTGGATAAAAATGAAAGATGCTTTATTATAATTTAAAAAAAAAAAGGTAGAAAAATAAATATTNTTTTTTTTTTTAATAATAATAAAAGTTTTAAAATTTGTATTAGTGAAATTATTAAAATTAAATTATGGTTAGATATTAATTTGCTGTAATAAATTAAAAATTAGGAATTAAGTTTAAGACAGGAGACCATTATGAAAATCGAAGCTTATATGAAATTTTCTTACAACTCTAAATTTTTAATATGGATAAAACATTTTCAGGAGTGTTTTTTTTTTTAAAGATAAAAATCGATAATAACGATTCATTTAATTAAGCCAGTAAAAAATATATATATGTATATTCACTTCTATAATTTTTCTTTTATTTTTATAATAAAATTCGAATTTTGATTAATTATATTATCATACGTTAGATTAAATTTTGTTGCGGGAAAAGCATTTTGTTAAAGAAACTTATGGAGATCTTAAGATGGGCAATTATAATACGTTTATTCTTCAATAAGCGGAGATTGCTGAGGAAGCAATATCGGGAGATAGAGTGCTAAGATAGGGCTTCGGACCGAAATGGCCCCGTTATTTTCATTCCGGACGGCAATTTTGATAAAAGTTGATGTTTTCTCAGATAAGACACGGTTCTTGTGTTTGTTAATCTAACGACGTCCATCCAATAGCAGGTATTAAATAGGCCCACTTTTCTAACGTTAAAAGTTATTTGCTTCCAGACCGTTTAGTATATTGTTTTTATGTCTCACTTCTTTAAAAATCGTAATCCAAGTAGATGATTTTTTCGAATTTCTTCCTCTTTAATTGGGATTTAACGTAAATATTTTTATAACTATATCTATTTTCAACGTTTAACCGAAAATTATAATTAGATTAGCTATTAATAATCCTTAAATTTCGTATAAATGTTTATTAAAATGTTAAGTTAATACGGTCTTTTATATATATATATATATATATACATCTAAACCTTAGTGAAACTCCATCTTTCGTCCCAATTCTAATAGTTTGGGTCGGGATTTTGTTACAGATCATCTTGATGAATTTCACTTTCTCCAACTAAATTTAGAAAAGTAACTACACGTCGAAACACAAATAAAGGTTTTTTTCTTCGATTTTAAGAAACTAAAGGCTAAATGATACCGAATGGGCCGACAGAAATGATATATTTAAGCTTTTTCGAGATTACTTTAAAAAAATAAACGCTCTAAAATGAAGATTTATGGAAGAAAAATGTCTCCGAATAAAAAGTAAGAGCCTTTTAAAAATAGAATAATCTGTATTTATTATATTATTTTCAGCTTATTTAAATAAATTTCTAAATCATTTTTTCACAAAACATTTAATAATGCTTAAAAATATTTTTCAATCTAGAAATTATTTACTTTGTTCTTACCATTTTCAGTATACAGCTGTATAATATAAACGAAGCTAAAGAATGCAAAAAAAATAAGAAATATCATTAAAGGATTTCTTGATTTTTATAATAAACAATACAAGTCGACCCCCCCTATAACACTGTTGATTATTCCGTTTTATATGAATTCCATGTTGTACGAGTCACTTAGATTTTACAAATACGCGTGCCAGGCTGTGAACGGCTCACGTATTTGTAAAATCTAAGTGACTCGTACAACATGGAATTCATATAAAACGGAATAATCAAAAGTGTTATAGGGGGGTTGACTTGTACTAATGGATTTTCTAAATACTGTATATATATATATAGCCTAAGCTTAGTGTAGCCTATTCGATATATATGAAGTAATGAATAAATTAGTTTAGTAATTAATGTCATTTAAAAAAAAAAAAACGTTTCGCAGTCTAAAATAGTTTCTGTATACTTTATTTAGTACGTAGTGTTTTTAAAATGTTTAAATACGATCGGTTTATATTAAGAACTAAATAAATATAAATAGAACAACCCGAAGCGTAATTTATTTCCAGATAGAATCATATTGAAATATTACATTCTTAATTTTATTCATTTCCTTTTGTTAGATATTTTGTAATGAGTTACGGGAGAGAGAGAGAAAATAAAATAAAATAAAAATAACGTCAAAATGTTGTCAAATGGCATTTTATAGTTACTGGAAATTCAAATGTGAAACGATAACAAAAGCAAATGCTACAACACGCCGTTTAAAGTGTGCTGCTGTCACCTTCGTTGACTAAACAATGTGTCAACACAAAACGCGACTCTGCAGATCAGATCGCAGACCTCCCGCAGTTATTTTCATTCAATTCCTCTTTACTTTAATCTCACTAAAGAATCTGGATTACTGATTGCCCACAAAAAAAAAAAAGAAGAAACAATTTTAGAAATTCAGATTTAACGTGTTTCTCTTTTCATTCTTCTTCTGTAGTGTGTGTGTATATGTATATATATATATATATGTATGGACAGTTTGACTTTTTTTCCTGTACGTGTCTCGGTTTCTGTCAGAAATATTTAAATCTTGTGACACTATCGCTTGAGGTAAACCTGCTCTCTTACTTCATTTCCTATTAATAATTCATACGTCATAAATAGTTGGGTTGTTTTTAAAAGACAAGAAATTCCTTATAATAGTGATGTGGAGGTGGAGTATAAACTATT